ATTCTCGAGTAACAGCACGCATGATACAAAGAGGAACATGGAGAATATATTTTCTTTCGGAGACTCGAGCCTCCCTCTCTGCCCGTGAAGAAGAACGCATCACACTGATAATAAAATGACCGTTTACTTATATCGCTTTATTTATCTACCGTTAATATACAAATGCTTCTCTATTTATGTATGTATTTTATATATATATATATATATATATATATATACTTTAGCAAAAGGAAAAAAAAGAGGGAAATATAAAAACGCGAGTACACGTGCGCGCGATCTTTGTACATACCTGCAACGTTAATTCCCGATGATTCTCGGGCGGGATAACGTATCGTGCAACTGTATACGTCGTTCGTCGTTATAGCATGTCTGTACACGTGTAATTACTTGGGACGCTCACATACATAAGAGTATTCATTGACAGATTTCGTTGCGTGTATTTTATCATCTCTCACACAGACTTCGTTGCGGTGTATTTCATCATCTCTCACAAGACCCGGCGACAAATCCGACCGGCAAAACCGAGCACCGTCTCTGCGCTTCGTTACCGTTGCCCTCGAGACGGGGAGGAAACGGGAAAACGACGGATCCCGCAACGAGTTCCGAGCATCCTTTACGCCAGGACGCTCAGAGCGAGCAAGAGTAGCCATCGACAGGCGTCGATCTTCGCGACACCGCTGTAAACTACGCCCACATAAGGCTCCAGGTTCGTGTCGTTGTAGTGCTGGAAGTACCAGTTGAAGGGAGAGTCGCTGTCGTCCGTCACTCGGGCCTCCTCGTCGACGACGAACGCCTCGTTCTGGCTCAAAGTAGTGTCGTCGGCGACCTCGGTGTTCCTCAGAGTAGCGCCCGCGACGAATTTCTGCCTTTCCCTCGACTGCTCGCCGAGATTGCGGTCAAGGTGCGGCGAGGCGACCTTGGTGATCGTGGGCCTACCGAGCGGACGAAGATTTACCGTCGACCCGGAGGACGACACTTGCCCGCCCGGCACCAGAAACGCGGACAAGGCGGACGCTTCCGTACCTCGGGAGGTTTGCGGTATCGTCGTGATTTCCTTGGGACGACTCAACGTCGGAGTCGTCACGGACACTGAGAAACGCGGAAGCGGCGTGTCCGTCTTTGTCGAGTCGCCTGCAATCAATGAAACTTTGTTCGAATGTATCTTACGAGTGCAAGCTCTAAGGATCGCAGAAGGTGAAGAAAAAATGTGAGAAAAAGAAAAAAAAAATATATATATATATGCATTCGGGGAATCTTGGACGTTTTGATGAGGAATTTTTTCATCGCGAATATGTAATAAGAATACGTGTGTACCGAAAGATTACTATCGTTGTTATTGTCGTTGTGAGCGGATAAATTCACCTTCGTCATAAAAATCGGTTGTGCTGCTGAAGCGGCCGGAGTCTCCTTCGTATTCCGAAACTTCCAGATCCCACTTCGCGGTACTGCTTCCTCTCGGCGGTGCTACCTCCATCGTCGCCGTTACGGTTTCCTTGACGGTCGTTACCTTCCTCGAGTCCGTCGTCGTCGTCGTCGTTTTCGGCGTAGTCCAGATTATCCTGCTGGCGGCTTCCATCTGCGGCTTCTCGATGAATTTAACGTCTTCCGTGCTCGCTTCCAGACTCTCGCCGTCGTAAATCTCAGTGGGCACCGACGTCTCGTGAGCCTCCTGCGACGTCTCCCCCACGATTATCGGCCCCATATTTTTCGTCGTATTCGGTGCGCTAGAGCTGGATAAACCAGAAGAAAAATAGTGGAAGAAGTAAGAAAGGCCGCGTGCGAAAGTGAATAACGACACGAGGACTTCGGATTCGGAGGAAAGTAATTCAAAGTTCTGTTCTCAACGAAGAAATGTCGAAACATGTTGACGCTGGTTCGGCTGGTTTACCTGTTTTTGCTGGCGTCGGTCGAGATTCGGCGGGACTCGAAGGAGCTCATCAACCCGGCCGACCGATCCAACGTTGACGAGGTCGACAATTCCTCCCTCTCCCGAAGCTCCGTCCGCGATTTATTGGTGGCTCTGAGGACGCTGATCTTCTCCACCTTGGTCACGGTGCTGTTGCCGCTTTTCCGACCGCGGCCCTCCTGCACGACGGTGCTGCTCGCGTTCAACGGCCTCGTGGTGTTCTCGTGCTTCGCGCGTTTCTCATACGTCAACCTGGGATCTGCGATCGGCACGAACCCGCTCTGAGCGCGCGGCAAGGGCACGAAGCCGCCCCGGTGAATCTCGGGTTCCGTGGGCGGGAAAAACCGATAACGTCCGCGACCGGGCCTGCCGGACGACGGGGACTCCTTCCTCTCGGCCTTCCTGCCCGAGTGTCCCCACAGGTTGAAATTCAGACTCGGTAACGGCACGCCGAAGAAGGTGAAGCCGGAGCTGCTGGGCGACGGCGGCATCGCCGGGTGCTTCTTCACCGGCGACGTCGCGTTCTTCTGTTGGCTCTGGTGCGGCTGGATGATCTTCACGGTCTGGGTGGGCACACTGACGGTCGACACGCCGGACGACGGAGACGCGCTCGTGTTCTCCTGCTGATAATCTAAATACTCGTAGAAATAGTCCGAGTCATGGGAAACGGACGACTTCTGCGTCGATGAGTCCTTCAGGTTCATCCAGAGCGGAACCGTCTCGGTGACTCCAAACGCTGCGAATTACATCGGTATATGCTATCAGGTAATTCAGTAATTCAAAGTGAATTGAGATGTTGAGATTAAAACACAGTCAGATGAAAAAACACAATTTTCTATAATAATGAAATTTTAAGAATACAGCCAATGGCTGCATTCGGCAGGAAAAGCAGCTTAGCAAGCACTCTTCGCTGCCAGGAGCTCAATAATGAAATTTTAATTCCGTCTCTCTTTCTCTCTCTCTCTCTCTATCTCTCTAACTTCTTTCTTAGTACTCACTCACCGGACGAAGAAACCGACGGTGTGGCAACGTTAATCATTTCAGTCTCGCATCCTGGATGAACCGGTTCCACGTATCTCTCACGCTGGCAGTCCTGACGCGACAATCGGAGCTCCCTGAAGAGAGAACCGTCGGCGCATCTGGGACCCTCCGTGGAAGCTTGTTGCAGCCATCCTCGCAGCCAGAGCATACTGCAAGAGCAGGACAACGGGTTTCCTTTTCCGAAAATAATGGAAACAGGAAAATTAGTAAAAAGTATAATCGGCCAATTTACTTTAACTAGAACGTCACAGCTGCGCGCCACTTTAATATTCCGTAAATACAATCTTCCTTTAGCGGAACATCATTTTTTAAGATACCTCACGGAGCAACAAATTTTTCTCTTTGGTAACTTTTTAGCAACAAATGAGCAACAAATTTGTATATTACTATTATATTCAATTTCTTGTGAATTTTTCTAAACGAATTTTCGCGCCTTTCGGGCAGAAACTGAAGAAATTTACGGAAAAAATGAGGAAAAAAACATTTTCTACCGAAACTTAAAAACTGTAATTTTTCTCACCGCAGCAACGCGACAACCGATTCACATCGTGGGAAAGATGCGAGAACGACTTCGAACTCCGAGTTAACGTATCTCTTTTAAAAAGGGACCTACTGATCTTCTTAATTCACTTTTATTTTTAACCGACGCATCTGTTTACGCTGATCAATTTAAGTGAAAACCAGTTCTTACCGTCGATGTCCAATACGGCGATGTTGGATCTTAACCTTTTGAAGGCGCTCTCGGAAACCGCAGTCATGCGGTTGCTCCGCAGACTCAATACACGCAGCCTTGGCATGTCGTCGAAAGGTGAGCCGTGCACTGCGCAAATGCGATTGTTGTCCATCTGCGTATATAGAAAGGGAAACGTATGTAAAGCGGCCCGGCTCTATCGTCCCCTAATTAACGATGCAGGTAGACGAATAATTACTCGCCCGGCAGAACGGTTCGTTTCGCACCGCGGTTCACGCGCCGAGTTTCACTCTCGACGAGAAAGTATTCGGTTCTATCATAGCGAAGGAAAAAAGAAACGGGCTCTAGGGATCTCGCTGTATTATTGTTTTCCATTACTTTTTTCTTTTACGCGTTATTTCACGCCTCTACGTAATCGTGCGAGTGCACTTCGGGGATACAAAGTGCACGCGCACAACGAGCGCATAGAAAGCGCGACGTTACACTTCATCTTGAAACGTCGAGGCACCGGGCTAATTAACGTTATTAACGTTAATTGATACTAATTAAACGTTAATTAAGCAGAAATTAATTGGGAAATGCGCGCGAGCAGAGAGTGGTACCTTCAGTTCGACCAACCATTCCATCGCCGCTAGGCTGTCGCTGGAGACTCTGGACAGTCGATTGTGGCTGAGATCAAGGACCTCCAACGAACGAAGGCTCTCCAGACCAACGTACTCCAGTCCCGGCAGATGATTGTGACTTAGATTAAGGAAGAGCAGATGTGGCACGTTAATGAAGGCACTAGCGGCGATTTCCTGGATGTGATTTTCCTGGAGTTCTGCGCTCTGCAGCAACGGCAGCTCGGTGAAAGCGCCGCTGGGGATGGACTGTAAAATCACGCGTCGGAACGTCATTTGTTCTTTTCGGTTCAACGTTTGTGAGAGATTCGCCATGTGCGGAGATTGAACGACAAGGAAATAGAATATATATTCTCCCGTCGTATAACTTCTACGCGCTATTACATTGTGACAATGACGTTCTTGATATATTTATATAATAAAATATATAAACAACGATGAATTCATATAGTAATATTTTTGAGACATTTCTTAAAAATATTTCTTGTGTAATATTATTTTATAGAAAATAGAAATAGAGAGACTCAAAAATCTTATAATATTTCACCATAATTTATCATTTCGATCAAATTCGCATTTCTGCCAAAATAGAAATATTATATATTTCTTTCTATTTTAGAAATATTATATATTTCGTTTTTAATTGTCTTGGCTTAAATGGCTAAAATTTCATCTAAATATATGTTTCTTTTATATCATATGTTGATCTAAGTAATCCAATTAAAAGAGAATTTATCAAATATATCAGATGACAAATCTCTCTGAAATTTAAGAACTAAAAATACGATTCGATTATATTGACACTTTACTCATGTAATTCTATATGATTTTTTTAAACAGGGGAGATATTTTAATCCGATAGTTAAAATTATTCTAAAATGATTGAACGATCGGAAACTGGAACGAGTCGTAACCTGCAGCCGATTTTTGCCGAGTCTGACGGCCTGCAGCTCCGGTAACGCCCTGATCGCGTTTCTTTCGATCACCCGGAGATCATTGTTCTCGAGATCGATCAGGGACAGCCGCGGTAAACCGTCGAACGCGCCTTCCCGCAGCTCTCGTATACGGTTTCTGACCAGCTTCAATTCCAGCAAGGACGACAGGCTACTCAGCGTTTCCGGCGATAGGATGTTCAGCTTGTTGAAGCTCAAGTCGAGGACCCGCAGAGCTGTTAAGCCGTGCAGCGATCCGGGTAACTCGGTCAAAGTATTGTGCGACGCGTACAGTTCACGAAGGTCTCTGTAACGTTTTGACATTGTCGCCGTTTTGGCCACGGAATGGTTAGAAATTATGTCTCGGCTTTCTCAAACGCGCCAGCGCGAAAAAGAATTTGGAGACGCGTGAGAGATTCGGACGTGATCTCAATTTATTTTTAAGAGGTCGGTTCTGAGAGTTGTCTTTGCGCGCGTTTCATATCGATTAAATGTGGCGAGTGATTTTTCTTATGGAGACATAAACATTGTGACTAGCATTAAGACGCGTCTTCGTGCAATAAGAATTTTGTCAGTATATAAAAAATTATCTGATGCTGTGAAAATTGCGACAATATCACAGCAATATTCTGATACCGTAAATATTGCTGATTATTTTGCCCGAAAGAAAACATAATTAATCTAGAATTTATGTAGCAATAAGAAGTCAATATTTTGATTACAATTATGGCGTGATAAATAAGTATTCCTTATAAGCATATTTTAAATACGTTATGCTATTGCAATGTATGCATCACAAAGCATATATTAAATGTTTGCATACTATGTTCAGCACTTCTGGATATGTATTGTCTGGATATATATTATATATTCGCAAAGTTGAATTCAACGGAAGAGGTGAAATAAAATCGCGAATACGAAAACGAGCCGTGTTACCGCGAATTAGGCGACACGCCAGACCGATGCTATACAACGACGTGAAAGAGATATTAGCGTGTGCACGAAGAACTTTCTAGGTACCAATTTACGAGTGATGCAATCAAGTAACCACGAGTGAAACTACTTTTCCACTAGAATACGAGACGAGCGTGAGGGAAACGAAAACGTGAGGGAAAATCGCAGGCTAGATAACGGATTCCGGGTCATGTTTTAAATAACGATAAACCGCGAAAGATCAATCTTTTTCTTTGCAATATACGTGAGGGAAACGAAAACGGGACGTCGTGTAACGTCGAATAAGAAATTTAGAAATAAACTAGAGAATATAGTACATTGTGAAAGATTTTATTACGTAAGAAAATCTTTCACGATATATCTCGATGTGCATCCCTTACCTGGTGTTGGCGAAGGTGGCGTGTGGAATTTGGGCGAGATTATTCCTACTGAAGTCGACCCTCTGCAGCCGCACGTTCTCCTGAAAGATGTCCGGCCGGAGGACCTCCACGCGATTGCCCCGCAGGTTCACGTCCATCAACGATTTGAGCGGCCGGAAACTTCGTCCGTGCAACGTGACCAGTCGATTGTACCTCAGATCCAACTGTTCCAACCGGGAGAGCCCGTCGAAGACGCCATCGTCGAGGAGCCGCAGCGCGTTGTAGCCCAGATTCAGTCTCCTCAGGTTCGGCAGGTCGGCCAAAGTGCCAGGCGGAATTCTCTCGATGCCGTTCGCGCTGAAGTCTAGCGATCGCAGTGCGGGCAGCGCCAAATCCTGCGAGGACACCACCGGCAAGGAGACGATGCGATTCATCGGCATGTGGAGGTGCTCGATGTCCTTCGGCAGACCGGGCACCACCTCAAGCATGCGATTCCAACCGATGTCCAGCTCATACAGGTTCGTCAGGTGGCGGAATGTGAGAGGATGAAGGACGGATAAGGCGTTGCCCGACACGTTGACGTGCTCCAACGCCGGTGTGTTGAGGAAGGACTCGGGCTCGATGAGGCTGATCGCGTTGCCGCTGAGATCCAGCCGCCTGAGATTCGGCAAGTTGCTCAACAAGTGCGGCTCTATGTGGCGGAAGTAGTTCTCCGAGAGATCCAGGCCCTGAAAGTATTTTAAAAAACTGACGATTTTCAGGATTCTAAGAAACATCCGCAAGTTCGATAGGGCCGTCGACGACGTTTCCTTACCTTCAAGGCCGGCAAGTTCCAGAAGGGAGCCTCCAACAGGTTCGACAGGGAATTGTTCTTCAGCCGGAGCTCCCTGAGTGCCGGCATCGCCGTGAACGTTTCCCTCTGCAGGAACGCCAGTCGGTTGTGGTTCAGATGCAGCCTCTCCAAAGTGGGATGGCCCCTCAGAGCGCCGAACGGTATCTCCTCCAGCTGATTGTGACTGGCGTCTAGGAACTTCAACCTCGGCAACGCCTCGAGCACCGACCGTATCTCGGCCACGTGGCTCAGGTCATTATTGATCAGCCACACCTCCTCCAGGATATTCCCCGTACGGCGCGAGAAGAACTCCGGATGGATACGGTGAATCAGGTTGTGATTCAAGTCCACCGACTTGAGGAGCGGCACGCGCTGGAGCGCGCCGGCGAATATCTCCGTGATGTGATTGCGCGACAGGTAGAGGCGCGATAACACCGGCAGGTCGACGAACGAGCCCTCGTCGAGGCGATTGATGCGGTTGCGGTCGAGACGTATCACCGACAGCGACGGCAGATCCACGCAGGCACGACCGACCATGGCGGCGTCGATTATCGCGTTCCCTACCAGCGAGATCTCCTTCAGCTCCGGCAGATCGATCGCCGCCCGCGGGTGGATCCAGTGGATGCCGGAGTCGGTGACGTTGATCAGCTCCAGCCGCGGAAGAGCCCGCAGGAGACCGGCTTCCAGCCTGGTCAGCCTCGGGCTGCCGAACACGTGCAGCTGCTCCAGACTGGGAATATCCCGGAAGTTTCTGGACGCGAGCTCCAGCAAGGCCGGCGAGTTGATCTGCAGGTATCTGAGCTTCGGCAGGCTGGAGAACCTCGGCAGCCGCTTCATCACGCGGCTCTGCAGCGTCACCGCCTCGAGACCCTGCAGGTTCTCCAGACTGTCCACTGGCAAGGACCGTAGGTCCGGCTCGACGATGAAGAGCTCCAGCAACGAGTCGTGCAGACCCTCCAGCCAGCCGGACGACACCCTCTCGAGACGGTTGTTCCGAAGCATCAGGCGTAAGACGCGCAGGGACGCGAACACTTTGCCGGGTAGACTCGGCAGATTGTTGTTCTCCAGAATCAACTCATCAACTGGTCGGTCCATGTAATGGCTTACCGCCTTGAGACCCTCCAGTACCTTCGGCAACTCGCTGTGGCTACACCTACGCGAAATCGTACGGCCTCGTGTGAGGACAAATCGATGCGTTTGCCTTTTTTGATGCAATAAAAGATATAGAGACGCGTGTGTGTAAATTCCTTGAACAAGTGCTGCCAGTTCAGCTGGCTAAAAAGAGCAGATCGCACGTTGTTTGCGTTTCTCACGTCTCTCAGTGAATTTCATAGCAAGAACGCGAGATGACATCAAATGACATCTTAATAACGTCTTGATGACGTCTCTAATGTATACAAGACTTCGTTAAAACGTCACCTTGCTACTTGGGGAGACGCTTCATTTATGCGCAATGATTCACTTGCCATATCTGCACCTCCATGTCGCGCGTCGAACACCTGCACGGCAGTATCCTCTCCTGAGGCGGACATCCGTAATCGGGATCCAGCTGGGCGCCGACGGAGCGCAGCGCCAGAAGCCAGCCGACTATCAGAAGCCCACCGCCTTCCGATGGCCTGACCATCGCGCATCTGGACCGTAGTTTACGACCACGAGCAGCACTTCCGCATCTTCTGGAACCGTGCGTTCGCGCGCGTGAAAGCGCGCCCTCTTAATCCTAAATCAAAAATAGATATTCTCGCATATAAGCAAGAATATCATGATCTTCTTGGAAGACTTTCAGTCTTCATTTGGTCGAATTTATATTGACGCAAGTATCACTTGAACTCAATTCAAGACTAAAAATCGCCGAAAAAGATTATAATATTCTTGTTTATATACGAGAGAATACCTATTCTTGACTTAAGACTGATTTCTTTCCCACTCGGCCAGTGCAAGGACACGAGTGGGAATTTCAAGGAGCATCGAGCCGTCCCCCGGAACGCTCGTTAATTAGACACCGCTTCGATCGCGCGTGCGTGCGTCCAGAAAGTCGCTAATTAAAGTCCGCGTTCGATGCTTTTGTAGACCGTTCTTTTCTAGATTAAGTGGCCCGATGCCGGAGCATCCGGGACTTTCCTCGTTTCCTTCCGCCGGTCGACCATCGCGTCGCGCCTGATTGATCGCACGTGGGCGACAGGGAAACTGCGTGCCGGGTGAGGGTCGCGCGCGCAATCGCCGGCTAATTGCACGCGCTTCCGCGTGAGCGAGGTGACGCGCGCGTGCGACGAGATCCGCCGGAAACGAAACGGGACGAAACCGATGATGATGGCGAGACCTCGCGAGCGTTTCGCGAGCCCTTGGGGGACTCGCTCGGTCACGGTACGGTCAAGATATGCAGGTGTATCTCGACGCCGTGTGGCCAGACGCGTCCGTCCGTCCGTACGTCCCGTCTGTGTACGCGTGTAACACACGTCACGGTCGCAGACGACAAAATTGATGCCTCGTACCGTAAGCCGAGCTAAAGACCGCTAGGACAATCGTTGTCCGCAATAATTGCCGTCGCGCGGCCGCGCTCGTAACGTATACGCTGTACACCGGCGCGGCGAATACGCAGCGCGAAGGGGGCGACGAATCCGGCCGCATGCGGCGATAAATTCGCACCCGCGGAACCACGCACGGGGAGAAAGTAGGAGAGATTTCGTCGTCGTTCATGGGCGTGAGCGACGCGCATTTCCCGGGGCAAAGAGTGCTCGAGGCGCTCCTCGAGGCTCCGAGATTATCCTTGATGGTTCGCGACGTCGTACGATGAATAACGTCATTCGCGCTTGCGTAATTGTGCGTCACATAATCACGGAGGCGCGGCGAAGAAAGAAACGGCGCGACAATCGCGAACAACGCTCAGGCAAGGATAAGGCCGTTCATCGTTCGGAGATGCTGTCGCGCGTAAACACGCGCCGATTTCGTAACAACGCGCGGGACGCCGGTCGTAGGTGGATGGTAGTTAGGCAGGCAGGTAGGAGCGAACAATCGGCCGGCCTGAAAAGCCATTCGCACGTGAACGACGTCGGTGCAGCCGCGATTCGCAATAAACGCGAGATCGCGATGCGATATACACTGTGTTATCGCGAAGGCGGCTCCGCTTCCGGATGCGTTACGGCATTTGATGAGGACGACGTCGTACATATCTTGTATCGTCACTCAAGTCTGACTAATGAAACAAAATGAGAGAGAGAATGAACGTTAGCGCGAACTATAGTTTAAAAGAAAACGGAGCTTTCGCAATTTTACCGCGGTTTTTCCGGTTTCTTTCGCAAGGGTAGAGAAATTCGTTTAGAAAGATCCCGCATGTTCGATTGAAACCTCATTGATTTTTTCCAATGAAGAATTGCGTATACTTAAGTGAGATTGAGTGAAGTTAAATACGTTATGTGTTAAGCATTAACATATTAACTTCGAAAAATTGCAGCCGAATACACCGTGAACGAATACGTAATATTATATTACGGAGAGAATAAATTGCGGCAAGTTTTAACCGAACACGCGGATTCTCATGAACTTACTTTAATTTCGAAATATTTAATTGTATAATTGTACTTCCGCGGTGAGTAAATTTTTCCACGCTTTACTTATTCTATATCCTTTCCAAAAAACGTCAGCGCTTAAATCGGAGCGAAACTACTAACCGTTAACTATTTAGCGAGGGAGTCGAAGGCTAATTTGTTCGCAGAAGCGCGAGAAGATTTCACTCGGTTCGAGCTGCGTTTAATTAAACGCTTAACATATACGGCACGTGCTTGCTTAACGGAATGGCCCATTTTATAATGTTGCACGATAACGGAGAGATGCGCTCATTACGCAGTTAATTGCCTACGAGTTTCATTAACGTTGTCGTCGTCGGCGAGTTCGAGCTCGATCGAACGATCCCGAGCGGCCCGACGCGATTTCAGTGAAAGTGATTCCAACTTCCTTGATGTTTCACCGTCAGTCAGACGGTCAGTCAGATATATCCTGTACGCGTACATCTCATTTTCTGCCACGAGCACTGAAGCCCGCGCGTCGTTATGCAACTTGCAACAATGAGGAAGGTCGTGCACCTCTGCGGGAATTGAGCGATACGAGAAATCTGAGCGACGGATCTTTAAGAGTGACTAATGAGTCCTCAAGGAGCTTGTCTGATTCTAAATTGACCCTCGATTTTGCGAAACACTTTGCGCACGCGTGCGCGTGAGTTGCTAACAAATTAGTCCCGCTCGCATCTATTAAAAATCTTAGAAAGGATCTAATAATAATTTTACCAAAAATCCGATAAATCTAACAATAATATCTTATACAAAATCGAATAAACCTGACATATAATAATCTTACAAAGAATTCGTCTCGCGGAGGGCCGACTCTACTACCGTGTCGTTTAAATTCATCGAAGGGAATTAATCCAAGAGAAATCTAGAGAGATACGGGAGACAACGAAAGGGGACGGAAAGGGTGTCGTTTAGAGTATTTTGATGAAAACGTATTTTCGCCCCTAAGTCGTTTACCTTCTGCGTTCGCCAGGCCAGCGGCGCGCCCCTCCCGAGGGATCCTGGGGAGATCCTCGCGCGATTTTCGACGAAGACGCAATCCACGAGGAAGGAGCGAGATGGCTCTCCGAAAAGTGGTCTCCACTCGATTCTCTTGCGCGAAAAACGACCGACGTATTAATGTGTAGTATGTCTATCCCTCTTTTTTCCGTTCTTTTCCTCCACGGGGGCGAGTAACGCGCGTCACGCCTCGCTCTCGACACCCGGCCGTGTGCGACTCTTCGTGGTCTCGTTACGGACACGTACTAAATGCACCGAAGGAGTTGTTCGCAAAAGCGTGGCCTGCACAAACTCGAGGGGAGAAGACGACGGTGGCTTTGGCGGGAGGGAGAGACGCAGGAGAGAATTGCGAAGTCCGACGGTGTCCAGCCACCGTGAAGACACGCTTCCAGGATACTCTTCCCTTTCCCCACGAACCTCGCCGCGGTGCCGATGTAATTCGGCGTCGGCGGCGGTCAAAAATCGCCTCCCTTTCGTTCGCGTGCCCGAGTCTAGGTGTGCTTGTACCCTGATTCAATCTCGCTTGAGGGTGAAGAAAGAAGACACAGATGAACGAGTGCGTTCGATCGTCGTAATTTACAACGACGTCCTCGTTTCTTCCGCAGGACCCCCGAACGTCATGGAATTTCCCGTGGATTTTCGGGGTTCACGAGAACTCGAGAAATGTTGTCTCCTTTAACCAAAATCCGTTCGATTGTCCATCATCAGATAGATCCAACTAAACGCATTTTCCAATGTAATACCGACAGCGCTGCGTTACAGCGGACTAGTTAAAGGATAAGCGAGATAACTCCCGTAAAATATTACTTATATATTATGTATCTATGTTAACGAATGTTGTCGGTATGTCTCTTATTACAGAGTCAGCGATTGCATTCTCCGCATGCGCGATCGCGCGTTTGATTGCTGTTATGCGCACTAGCGGCGATGCGATCGCGAACAGATTGCGTTTATAAATAATTAATAATATTCAAAGCAAATCGCAACAAGTCACGGTAAATCTCGAGAAGTAGGAAGATAGAGAGAGGCAGAGCTTCGTGTTAAATGGCTCGCGAAATCGCGAATCAAATCGTCACGCGAAATTTGATGCGTCGTTGTGTCCGCGCCGCATCGAGGTGGCAATTAAGTGCGTTTAAGATAAAAATCGCGCAATATCGCATCTTGAGACAAAGTGACGACGTCGACGCCGCCTAGATCATTAGGCAAAAAGCTGCGCGACGCACGTGGTACACCGAGGAAGCAAATAACTACGTCCTAAAGTTCTTCTGTGTTCGTATTTATTTGTGTACCATCCTGCACGCGTACGGTTCTCGCTTCCGAGATGAGGAATTCAATAACGACCGCTTTAGGAAAGAGAAAGGAATCGCCTCGCTATTGGCTAGCGCGGCCGAGCCCTCGCAATGATCATGCTAAAAATCTAAAAGGTGTACAAAAAGAAAACACGAACGTATAAAATGACGCAAGAACGGCGTATCCTGAACTTCCAATGTCAACTGGACAACTTAAAAAAATTTTTAATAAGACAACTGTAGATCTGTTCAGTAATTTTTAACATCAGAATCGTTATCGCCACATTGTAGTTGCGCAGGTAAAATATGTATTTCAAAAGCAACGGTAACATAACAATAATGATATTAGTAATTAGTAGAAATTAGTAAAAATGATGGAATAGCTCTACGGATATTTTTTAATAGCGCGGATATCGTTGAGAAGTTAGTTAGCTCGATTGTTCGAAACAGACTATTGTTAAAATAGCGTTTTCGGCCTTCATCGAATCTGCGTAAGTCCGTTAGTGTAGACTCTAGAGAGATCCAAGATGAGTGTGTTGAAATTTGATTTTATTCTCCTTTCTCATGTACCGTTAGAGCCTCGGTAGAATGGCTGACTTATCGACTTGAGACAATGTTTTATGCATTAAGCAAAACTTTTATATACTCGAACCGACTTTTAAATTCCACGCATTTCACACAAGCTGTAATATATTATAGTTTTAAAGTTTTGGAAAAAAAACATTTTCCCCCAATTTTTTCGCGGATTTCTTCAGAAATTCGTTTTCTAAACTAATCTGTGTGTTCGGTTAAAACTTGCCACACTTACTTTCCTTCCGTAAAGATGATATAAGAAGCTAAAAAAAATCCACGAAAAAGTCGGGAAGAAATGGGTTTTCACGAAGTGTTACATCTATATAGAATGTACAATCGTATTTCTTTATTTACAATCGAGCTATGATGGTGAGAAGTGTGTATCTCGTCGACAGAAAAACGTTATCATCCTGTTTTTCACGATTGCAACTTTCAGCGCTCGATCGTTCGCAAGTGTCGCGAGCGTTTTTACGTCGAAATTTACATCAGAACTTACATTATGAAAACTGATTGGCAGAGATAAGCGGTGTATTAAAATTACAATAACATCGTCGTTAAAAAGGAATGAAATGCGACTATCACGCGCGCTTAAAAGTGGATGAGTGTCAACGATGATTCGAAAGTGTACATGTGACCTCTATCATTAATACGGAACAAGTGTCTAAATAAATGTAATATAGAATCTAACGAACAGACCAAGTATCGCTTCGCCGGGTTGCGTATGTAATGGCCGTACAGACACATCGACACGGCAGTGTCTGTGCTCGAACTGGTTTTACGAATGAACCGTGATATAATGTAGAATTGCTAGGTGAAGCTCCATCAGTTATTCATCGACCACGAGCGAGCAAGTATCGACAGTCCTTCCTTCCAGAGAAAAACCCTTTATCCATCTCTTTCTCGTCGCTGGTCCGCGACTCAGACGAAGTTTTACATACTGTGGACGACTTTGACGTTTATTTCATTGTTTTCCTTTTAATATCGGAAACTATCGTTCATGAAAAAAAGAATAAGAGAAGGGCGAGATTGAAGGATCCCTCAGCCGAGAGAAACGACACGCTTATCCATCGATAATCAGTGTTCCAACTTGCGAGATAGACGTAATGCTGCTTAGAAATGTCATTCAGTTCTCGCGTCACGTCACCAGGAGCGTCCGCAGGAATTACCAGGTTTCCGTTAAACTTCTCTGCAAGGAGAGCGGGCAGAATGAAAACGCCAGCGTCGTCAAAGGAAACATGGCGGAGAAAACGCCCCGCATTCTCATAACAGGTAAGTCGCGTCTTCACTTGCGCTCGACGCAGATCGATCCTTGTTATTTCCTCCTTCTTAACAATTAATAAGTCGATTCTAATCGATATCAACGTGACAGAAAATAACACATATTTGCACGTTTTATCTTTTTTTAATTTATAATTATAATTTAGAAATTTTTTTTTTCATTATTTATAATTTTATGAAATTTTCGTGGAAGGTTATTTAAAAATGAATGTTCGACGGAGTTTAACAAAGGACAAGTTAATTAATTAGTCATTCTATGCTAATCATATTTTTCGTTGTACTGCTAAGTCGTGCATCACGTTTCCAATCCAATCATGTGTTTTTCGCAAAAACACAATTTGCGTACACTATTTACTACATGATATACCGATAACATTTCACATGCAAGTCCCTACAATCGTTCAAACGTGTTACCGTAAAATGCGTGGGAAAATGTTACAAGGATGAAGCGTTTTGCGCTTTTCCATTTCGCAAGTCCTTTCTTCTCCGTCGTCGTCGAGCGCAAAAACTCTCACGTCCACGATTTTCCTCGAGTTTTTTTCGCATGTTCAGGCGGCCTCGGACAATTGGGAACGGAATGCGCGAAAATGCTGCGACGGCATTACGGTAACAAGAACGTCATACTGTCGGACATCATCAAACCGACGGAGGAGAGCCTGGCGTATGGGCCCTTCATCTTCGCCGACATCCTCGATTTCAAAGGTCTGCAGAAAATCGTCGTCGACTACAGGATCGACTGGCTAATCCACTTCAGCGCTCTGCTAAGCGCGGTCGGCGAACAGAACGTGCCGTTGGCTGTCAGAGTCAATATAGAAGGTAAAGAAGAACGATAAATTATGTATCAACGGCCTAAATAATTATCGGGAAGTTCCGTGCTCTAAAAGGAACAAAAACTTTGCATTAACGAGTCTTAGCGCAGCGAACTTAATAAATAGGCATGAATAAATATTAATACTTTCAATATTATCACGGCTTCGATAAGGTCAGGATTATCGTTCTTTTTTTCAGTGGTGTCTCCCGTGGAAGAGACGAAGAATTTATAAACTTTCTTTGACATTTTTTTTTAACCGGATCTACATGGAGAAAAAAATTCGATTGAATTAACATTCTGGTTCTTGCAATTAGAAATTCGGTTTCCTACAGTCAAAACACGTTCGGTTCGTTCAGTGTCAAGTTAATTCAAACAATTTTTTCTTCTGTGTTTGTTTTCTCGAAGACCGAATTTATTCGAATGCTTCCGAGAGATCAAACAAACCGGCAGAGATGTGTATTCATTTCGATAATTAGTTTCTCATACGTCACTTGTGAGAAACCAAAGCGCCACTGCGAGGCGCTGCTAAAATTAAGCGCAGCCTTGGATTTTGTTCAAACAAAAGTGCCTGATAGTCGCCGTTACCCCTTCCAAACGATCACGTGATCCAGGATCACATATCCGCGTCTATTGGCTCCAATCAAATCTCTTACACGTATCTCGGAGCACGATTCATTCGAGCGAACGTCGATCCTCAATAATCGGCCGCTGTATGAGCCGCCGGTTGCAACGCGTTTGATGAAACGGCGATTGTTTCTTTCTCCGCTCATTTTTTTTCCTTTTGATATATGCACGGTTTCCCGCGAACTATGTCCGAGTGAAATGGAATGCTGCGTCGAGCACAAGCAGTGGGTTAGTTATTGCGTTGATAATTACATCGCGATCGCTAAGCTTAGTCGCTTAGGGAAGAAAGTACCCGGGAGAAAGCGGACGAGTCGTACGACCGGGAACGTCATGGACAGTGTCGCCCGTTTTTCAATTTTCTTCTTCAATTTACAAACGATTATAAGTTTTTCATTATTTCGGGAAAGTTAAATTTCGAAAGATTGTTGAACTGTTTGAATTTCGAGATTTTAATTTCCCGGGACAACACGGGATCCGTCAAAGTGGTCCTTCGTTCTGTCAATTCGTCGTGTGTGTCACTTTAGAGAATCTCCCCTTTACTTCTCGTTTCAGGAATGCACAACGTCATCGAACTGGCGAAACAATACAAGTTGAGGATCTTTATCCCGTCGACTATCGGCGCGTTCGGTCCGGACTCGCCCAGGAATCCTACGCCTAATGTCACGGTGCAACGACCGCGCACCATCTATGGCGTTAGCAAGGTGCACGCGGAGCTTTTAGGGGAGTATTATCATCATCGGTTCGGCCTCGACTTCCGATGCCTTCGATTCCCCGGAGTAATCAGTAGTGACCCACCCGGCGGTGGCACCACGGGTAAGTACCATCACCGTCGCTTCTTATCCTTACCGACCGTTTGTCCTGTCGCGTGCATGGTGACACGAAGACACATCTTTATCGGGATTTTCCAACAAAGGAAACAGACCATAAAAATCTTTCCGATTCCTTTCATCCTCAATGAAGTACTCTATAATTTCCTTTAAAATCCGGATAAGGGCGCATCTTCGTGTCGCCATCCTCGGACGAGCGTCTATTACCGACGTATTATCCTCCTCACGAGGATTTCTAAATAAGTGAATCAATCATATTCATATATTCATAATAAATAAATAAGTTGTCAAGGCTATCGGATGTACAGCTAAGTGAGAGAAGCCATTGAGAGACGACGCAGGATGTAAGTTGCGAAACTAAATCAACGAATAAAATAAGAATAAGACTTTTCAAACAGATAATAAGAATCTTAAAATAAGATCAGATTCTTATTCTTATTTTATCGACTTATTAATTCAGTTTCACAATTTACATCTCGCGCCGGCTCTTGTTGGCCCCCTCCGTCTTCATTTAATTTCCGTAGATTTCATCTCTCGCGCCTGACACGCGCTTCTTCTATCGCGAACACACGACTGTGATTACGCATCTTATTTCTTTTTTCGTCCCGAGCGTTCGCTGTCACGCAAGAGGTACTCCCGGAGTTCCCTGGACCTAACGTCGCAGCGGACATTCGCGTGGGACGTTCGGCTCTTCCGATTCGCAAGCGAGACAATCGTCTTCGTGCTCAGGGAACGCTTAATACCGCGCTACGGTTTCCACGGAAATAGGCTGACAACTGGAAATTGATAGAGCCTCTCTTCGTCTTCCTTCTCTCTTTCTTTAATGCGCGCGTTTAGAGACCGCGGAGATAGGCTCCTGTTTAGGGAGCAACTGGAGCACTAACCGCGATTAAGGTAACTGCGTAATGACGGAATGTATCGTCTCTCAAGGACAATGCTACCGGCAAATTATGCGGCGAGCCTCGACAGTCGGTTCGTGAGGTCACTTTTTGCATTTTCCTCAGCTTTCGATGCATGAAGCAATCGACAAAAACACTGTCGTCAATTGATCAGAATCGCGGCGGTTTTGCATAAACACATCTATTACTCAATCGTGCGTCTTCCTTCTGCACACGCAACAGGATCTCGACCGACCGTCGCTGTCGTCGTATCCGAGAAAAACGGCGGTCGAACGTATCAACACTTAGCGGTTTCGCGTGAAGTTGTGCTCTGATTCAGTGATAAAATAAATTGTAGATCTTACTCTGTATATTATTTATAATGATTGATTGAAAGAAGTTTTGCACACTTTCTGAAGGTGCAATAATGACAGAAAGTCTGATGACAAAATCTTCATCGGGCATAATTCTACGCAGGAAAAAAAGTGCTAGATTCAAGTAAATAATTACTCTGATGCTTCTCGGCCAAATTTTTACTTGGATTGAGTAAATTTTACCTGGATCCAAGTGAATGCCTTACTCGGATAATTTAGTTGGATCGAATAAAAATTTGCAAGATGGAGTTGGAGTAATTATTTGCTTGAATCTCCGGCATTCTTGTTTTCTGTGTATTAATTAATATTTTTGTGTCACCGTGTACTTCGATTATATCATTCGTAACTCGTCATTTTTACATTATCGCAGATTACGCCGTGGCGGTGTTCCACGAAGGGCTGTTGAATAAAAGATACGAGTGCTACTTGGAGCCTAACACAAGACTACCGATGATGTACATCGAGGACTGTCTGTCGGCGCTCCTGCAATTTCTGAATACGCCTAACGAGCTACTGCAGAGGCGGGTCTACAACGTCACAGCCATGAGCTTCACGCCCGAGGAGCTGTTCAACGAAGTTTTCAAGTACATCCCGGACTTGAAGATCTCTTACAAGCCCGACGCACGACAACATATTGGTACGTGTACTTCGCGCATCCCGCTCTTCGGGGAAGAAATATCAATGGAAACGTGTCGTCGTAATACCTGCTTTTTTTCCAGCCGAGAACTGGCCACAGGTCTTCGACGACAGCGAGGCGCGACGGGACTGGGGCTGGCGACACAAGTACGATCTGGAGAGGCTGGTGGAGTCGATGGTGCGGGACGTCAGCGTGAATTACTTGCCGAAGATGCAGTTAAATCAGATCAACCGCTAATATAATTGTACAGATTATCATTCCGCATGCGAAGCACCCCCCCATGTCTTTACAAATTACACAGGCGCAATATTTATTTCAAATTGTTTCACGGTGTTTCAAACGATGAACTCCTCATATGAATCAAATCTAAGAAATATAAATAAATTCTTGATATACAAACGTGCAAAAGTGTTACTAGTTCACTACATGTCCATGAATTCCGCGAAGTCATCGTCATTCAGTATTTTTGCGATGTTCACCGGGGTCATTTTGACGTCTCGTGTCGAGGGCGTTTGATAACCCGTTTTTTGAATTTTCCTCAGAGGCGTTCCCGTTTCGTCTGCGTTTCTCGACGGCGTAGAGTATCTATCTTTCCTCCTTGGCGTGTCGGCGAAGTCTGTATTTCCAGAGGGCGTAGAATACCGATCGTTTCTCCTCGAAGACCCACCGGGAGTTCCAATTGTACTTCTGTCTTTGTTATCCGAGTCTGTAAGGGAAATTGTATAATGAAATAAACATCGCGTTATGTTCGTTATCCTCAAGGGTTCCTCCATTCCCTCTCCTATTCTTACCTTTGTTACCATTGTCGTCTTCGGTCAGAATCGCGCGACTTTCAGAGAAGTATGCATTTGGATGCAGAAGTGGCTTACTCGCCGGCTTGTTGTGCACAATTTCAAAGTACTTCGCGCACGCCAGATGGTATTGCCCGTCTTTAGCCAAGTCCAGTATCTCAGTTGTGTCTAAGGTGCATCGTTAATTGTAAGCTGAGTGTATCCGAACAGTACATCGTTCTCTTTACATATAAGGAAAAAGATCAAATCTCTTACTAGAGGCAAATACACCATAACTGGTTAACTTTTGACACAGCGAGTCGCGGTCCATGTGTCTGAAAGGGCACCCGTGATATTCTCCAGGCCCGACCGCGCTGGATATGACCTTCTGACAGCCGTACGGCGTATAATTCGTTTGTCTTCCCTCTTTACCGTAATAATGCCTAATCGAGTACGCATACTTCTTCTCGAACGCGCTCCCGTCGATCTTCTTTGAGAATGCGTGACTCCAGAATCGCAGAGCATCTTCTAAGGTCACGCCAATGCCTTTCAGGAATAAGCCGTACTGCATGCGTCCCGAATTCTTCAGGTGATTGTTGTTGCAAAGCGCCTCGTGAAGTGTTCTCATGCACATAGGATAAGACGATTTCGACAACTGAAATTTTTTTTATAAAACACTTCTGTACCAAATGGAGAGATAATTTGCTTTCAAATTGGAGTGATGATCGATCCATACGTCATTTAGCTTGTCGATAGGTGTTGCTGTGGTCGACCATACAACACGTGCCATCCCAGAAAAAGCTGAAGGGAGACCTTTTAGGTATCTGGTCAGTCGTTCATCATCGGATATGTTATCATAAAGACTCTTTGCACTCTGTAAAGAACATAAGTGAAAGATCAATTAAATGTAATTCCATTTTTCTGACTTGATATGTACATGGAAATCATGGAATATCAGTGAAAATGATGTATACCTCTAAACCTGCAACTAGACTTTCTCTGAAATACGACACAAATACAGAGATCATGTCCATGTGAGTAATATATGCCACTCCTGCTTTGAGGTATACCTTACGTCCCCTAACTAAATCGACGACCTTCTCGAAGCGTACCTTATAAATATCAGTGATATCAATATTCATCACCTTTCCAGACGATGAACCGAGCTCTTCCTTCAAGTTTAGTTTCTCATCTTGAGAGATCTGGAGAAACGTTCAGAAATAAATTAGCTTACGTGCCATAATATAATCTCATTGAACACATTGTACTTCATAATTCAACATACAGGTGTGCAATCCAAATTATTGATGCTTAATAAGTATTCGACACCCTTCTTATCCAACGAACTGAATCTTAGCTTAAAGAATTCAACTTCCTGATTGATAAACCATTTAGTCTGCTCTGGATCGTGGCAATATACAAGTCTTAAGATAAAATGAGATAAATGATCCTTCATCCTGATCTGCGAGTGTTCCTCCGATTGTGGATTGGATCCATCAGCGTATAAAAGATTCGCATAATACTTCAGTCCATCTGACTTCAAAGAATCACACAGGGCTTTCTTGCGATCTTCCAGTGTTTTCAAGTCACTTCTGAAATTCGTTGTCTCTACCAAACGAAGTGCTGCGAAGGAGTTGGACATGTGTTACGACGAATCTAACAAAGCATATAATTCAAAGAGTGAATTGGATACCTTTCAACCTGTCAAATCCCAACTCTTGGAACTCTTCCAATGACATTTCGCCCATTGGTGGCTCATCATATATCTGAATGTCGTGAGGATAATTGTCTTTGAAGTCAGTCGTCTCCACGATAGCCGTGTGACGCCGATGCGTCTTGTAATCCATCTTCCTGCTTACAACAATTGCACAGAGTGTTCTTGCAAGTGACCAGAAGTCATCACAAGCTGCAAGAAGTGAAACAGATGGTTATTGCGATGATGGAAGAGCTCTAGGTTTAACAATTCGCCTCTACAACATCAGCCACTCGAGACATGTGACGAAAAATGTGTAAAAGCAAGGTATCTATCAACGTGCCGCGGTCTTTTCGCGCGTTTTCCACAGAATGTCCGACCGATGAATCGATGTCTGATCGTCTTCGTTCGAGGATCGATTATTTCACCGATATTTCCAAATTTAACTCAATCACAATTATTTATATCGGTAGATTTCTGATTAAACGTTATTATATTTTATTATTATTTATCATTTTATTTTATTATTCCAATCGTACTATTTTAAAATATAAGTTTCGCCTGACTTATTAATTAATTTTACAATGGTTGCGAAGATGCTATCTCTGTTGAACGCAGCAAAAGACAGTGGCGTCACGTAGCGAAGATTTTGAAATTAATAAAAGCAACGGGTCAAAGCTGTAACGGGTCTTTCGAGTTTTAGCAGAGACTCCAACCTTAATTAACCGACAATCACCATAGTATTTCTGAAATTTATTAGCAATACCGTTAGATGGCAGCAGTCAAACCGTTCAACCGGAATGCGGAGTCTAACGATCTTATTAGTTTCAACGACGTCGTCACTGTCACTACTGTCAAATTCCCCTCTAATTAACTAAAACTTTTGTACGTATACTAATTATTTATTTTGCGTCAAATTATATAATTAACATGAAACGAATAATGTCTATTAAGATTTTTTCACATTATCATTAATACACACTTGTACCTCCGCAGTACCTTCTTTAAATATCGAATACTTGCACAACTTTTCTCTCAAACGCTTTTCTTACAATTGCTATCCATCGTATTTGTATCGTGCGAGGCAGATTATCAGCATTTTACATTATTTGGAAAATAAGAATTTTGGAGTAAGCAAGTATACATAAGTAAAAAAAAATAAACAGAGATTCTTTTTCAGGTGACTAATTCGATTCTCGTCTCGCGTAGGTGGCGCCAAGAGGAAGGAGTCAAGTAAGTTCGAATCTGCCCTTTTTCGCTGCACTTTTCGCAAAATCGAGTTGCACTCGTGACGACAATCACAGCCGAAGGGAACGGATCTGCGAGCGTGTACGTTGTCTCGCTTTTATTTTGACATGCTCCATCCCAATAACGAGTCTGCGCGCTGCGGGAGATTTCTGTTTGGCTTTTCCCGGCGCCGCCGGATACACCTATTCCCGTCAGTCACGTGGTGAGCTTCCGTGGGTACGGATCGCGTTCCCTCGCGCGGTTCCCCTTCTTTCACGGTTATCAGGATAAACTCTTAGGCGAGACGCGAGAGAAATCGGCGGACAGGAGAGTCGTCGGCCGGGGATCATCACGGATCAGCGGACGTTTCTGAAATCACCGCCAGAGGTGAGTTGAACAATTTTTGTGAAGTTTACCTCTCCTCCATTTTTTTCTTTCCCTAAAAAGAAGTATCGATTAGCTGCATCAGTAACTGATAAATGTTTCAATCAACTGATGATATCGATTAATCAGTTCGCGTCAGTATAACTGCTAGAATATCATCAATTAATTTGAACATTTATCAGTCGCCGATGCACCTAATCAGTACTTTTTCTCAAGGATTTCCTTCTGTTTTTTCATATATTCGACGTTTCTTTTTTCGTGTTCGCGGTCACCCGGACTTCCTTGTGGAAGCGACACGAGGAGATTTTCCGTGGAGAGTTTGTAGGTTTCCACTTGCCTTCCTTTCGTGATTCGTTCTTTTCTCCCTTTATGCCTTCTTTTTCCCCAGTGGAATGACTACAGGCAAGCTAATTCAGCGAAAAACATAAGTATCCGCCGACAAAATAACCTTTCGCTCGGCATAAATGCGTTATTATTTTGAAGGACGAGGATATACCGCAACACGGTAGATATACGGTCGATATTCTACAACATAAGAACCCTTGTTTGGCATCTAATATCTACCCGGGAACGGTCCGCAATATTCCGATGATACTGTATTGAATAATGTAATATACATCGATGCTTACCGGTGATATTCTACCGCGGCGCGGCTCATTGCGAATTGACGTAGAAAGACGTGTCGTGACAGGAAAAAGATGCCGACTCGCCGCTATCTACGCTCTTTAACCTCCTCGTCTGGTCACGCGTTACTTCGAATCTCGCGCGAGCTCCGCTCCTTCGTTTCCCCTTCTTCTTCTTTTTCCGCGTGGTCGAGCTTTTCACACGTGTGTTTTGCGTGAAAACTCGTTTGACATGTCGACCGCCACGTTGATTTTCACGCATCGTTTAGCTTAGTTCGAGTCGCGGTTGCAATTTTGTTCACCGTCGGATGTGTATATTTGCTAATTCTTTTCTTGTTTTCATTTGTATTTAATAATTAATTTTTAGCTCTTTTTATGCTTCATTTGGTTTGTATCGATTAGTTTTATCAATTGCCTATGTAGTAAAAAATCTTGTGTTAAATTTAACACATTTCGCGTGTCTCAAACGGCCCGTTCAAATTTTAGTGTTAATTTAAAACGAGGTGAATATGCTGAAAAGTGACGTGAATGTTATATCAAAAATTAACACAAAATTAAATACATTAATCGACACTGAAATATAAAGTGTGTTATTTTAACATTTACACGCGTTGAATGTCGACAAAACATAAAATATTGAGGTAACATAAACACAATATGTTTGTTTTATTATTAAATTAATACATAGATATATTAAAAATTTAACAAGAAAATTTTCTTACGAGAAACAATTTTAACACGAGTATGTAAGAAAGTAAAAATGTCTTGTACTGGGCCACATATTTTATCAGTTACGCGTTTGATGAGAGAGAGTTTCCAACATCCGGCTGAAATCTCGTCAATTAGTAATTTCGATTAACGGATTTCGTTAGTTCGTACGCAATTAGTTACGTATTCATGAGACCCGGTCGAATCAGCGTTCTTCGCTGGCAATCCCCGTGGTGGGTTGTCAACGATAACGATCCCGAACACGCAACCTTGCCCGAACTGTCCCCGCCTGAAGACCATCGTGGGGCACCAAAGGTTAGTTCGAAATCCTACTCGACGGGTAGAGTAGCGTTTAATTGACCAATCAAGATAGAAAGGGTAAAGGTATTCACCATGATTGCTTAATAAACGCTCCTCTACCCGTCGAGTAGAATTTCTGAGCGCACCTTAAGCTGCGCGAAATTAAAACGCGAACGAAGCGGCGAATTAAATGGAAACCTCGCGCGTTCTCCGCCAGTTTCCGAAGTTCGCTTCGGTGGATCTGTAATTCGCAAGGGGGACTTCGGACTGAAAATCGAAGGCACGTCGTGATCTTTAATGAGGTGCTCGGAATTATGCATCGAGCATCGAAAGAAGGACGGAAGGAGGTGAGAGAGGCAGCGTGGTATACACTCGCTCAAGAAAAACTCGAAATTATAATGGCTCGTGTATATATATATATAAATGCGCGAGTGCGCGACTTGCATTCATTTCCTCAAACGAGTTTCGCAAACTGCCTCGAAGCCGGCGGGGCTTTCCGAATCCGGGGCATCTGAAAGCACTCGAGGGAATGATGAACGACTCGCACACACAATTCCGGAAGTGGAGTGCGATTTGTTCGTCTTAGAAGGCGGACCGGGGCTCGCGCGGAACGACGACGATTTTATCGCGCACGCAGATGAAAATTTGAACAGTCGAAAGCTCCCCGTATCGAAGCGAGCCTCAAAAGCTCGGTTTTGCCTTACTTACACCTACTCGCCAAGGTGACTCGGTCTCGCCGAACTTCGTCTTCGAGGCATCCCATTGTCACATTTGAAGTTTATATAATTGCGATTAAACATGTCGACCGGGGAGTCCGCTAACGCGGAAGTCTCTCTTGATTTCGGATCAATGACGCACCAGCGAATATTTTCATCCAAACGTAAACATCACATGTGTGTTGATCCTCTTATGGAGATAACTAATAGACGAGATTTCAACCGGCTGGACGTTGGGTATTATCTCTTATCGAGCACGATGCGGAAGATTATGAAATGTAAAAACGTATCGGTGATTCACGTCACATCACGTAGACGCCGGTATTAAACGAGAGAAAGAGAGCCTTTATTTATGCCGCACTATCACTAGGAGTTGCCCGCGACCGCACCGCGCTCATATTCCACCTTGCATTATCTTGCGGTCCGTGCAATTAGTAATCTGATCTCCGCAGTACAATACGTAGGACGATGTACTATACGTAGTACAATACACAGGCACTGTATGGTTGCGTGAAATGCAACGTAATTTAAAATTCCGGCTCCTATGCGAGCTCGATATTCGCACGCGAGATCGGAGCGGGAGAGAAAGAGAGGGAGAAAGAGAGAGAATATATATATATATATATAAGAGAGTGAGATTTAGTGATCTCGGTAGCCTTCACGTCCAAACTATTTATTGAGATACGTTTCATTTAAACGGCCTGTGACTTGCCGACTAAAATGAGAAAAAGCTTCATCATGTTCCGTGAACATTTGTCTTCATTTCCTTCTTTTATTTTCCAATTTTAATAAAAAAATATTGTGCTATTGTATTGCTGTCACAAAAATTGCGCTATCATTTATAAAAGTATTTATAATTTCAAGCACTCGTAGTTGGATAAATTTTTGAGTCGTTTCGAATTGGACCCACACTTATATTACATTTTCCACCTTAATTTATATCAGAAACATGCCTTTTATGTTTGTACATTATGTCATCTGACGCAATATATGTACGTATATATGTACAAAGGAAACGTAAAAGTAGGTTTTACGCTGATGTCATTTTTTCGACGTACGAATCGCTGAGGAACTTGTCGGGATATCGAAATACGAGAATGCTTTTCTATGCGGGTCAAATGACATCAACTTTAATTCAGAATGAACGAATGAACCAACAGCGAGTCGTTTTGCATGCTCGTCTTTTTCTTGCTTTTCCCAACATTGGACGAACGAAAACTCTCTTTCTCTCTCTCTCTCTCTCTCTTTTTCTACTTCTCTCTCCCTTTGTGGGTTTAGCGTGTTCCGCCAAGTTCGTGTCATGCGATGTGTTTGCGAGCATCCGTCAAAGGGTGAATTTTCCATTTTCCCTCGGCCGTTCGCGCGCGAGCGAATGGCCCTTTGAACTCTTCACTTCGGGGATGCGTGCAATTATAGTGCGCCTTGTCGGAAGTATGAAGTTGCTGATGGATCGAAGAACGCTTTATTATAGAGTACGACGCGAAATTAGCGGGATGTGGACGCATAGCGTTATTCCACCGTGAAATTTGACATCGATCCCAAGTCGGCAAAAAATGTTAAGAGAGAGAGAGAGAGAGAGAGAGAGAGAGAAGAAGTTTGTTCAAGTTATCTCGAAGTCCTTAAATGTTAACATTTGGTGACTCTCGATATTTCGAATTTCCGCCGAAGCGCGTCTCGAGTCGAAAGAAGATGGAATACCGCTCGAGCAAATGGAACAACTTCATTCATAATTATTATAAACGCGGAGCGAGAAGTCCCGGCGGGCAAAAAATACGGCGATATCGTCGCCAGGGGAAAACGGCGATGCATATATATTCAGCGGCGATGTCCTCGGACGATCGGAATTGACGAGTTCGGTCGACAAAATCTCGCGGGTTCTTTTCTCAAGCGAATCCCCGAGCGTGCGGCGCGAACGAAATTCGTTCGCGCCGCAAGAAACGTGAGGAAGAGGAGAATTTAAAGACGGCGGAACGTACTTTGCACGTATAACGCGCGCGTCGCTTTAAATAATTCAGATGCAGTGAATATACGTCCCCTTAAACACGCGTTCGTGCGCCCTCGGGAAATCGTGAGGGAGGAAGGGAAGGAGTGGAAGTGAGAATAAAGTCGGCATCTCGCGTAATCTTGCTCGTTCTCGAGCGTCAGGGAGAAACTTCACTCTGTAAAGTGCAATCAGCGTGTTATCACTGAGAAGCAGCCAGTAGTTATTAGCGGTTATAGTTATAGCATAGCACTGGAAATCAGTAAAATTTCGCTGCAAAGGTCTGTCAATAGCTACACCGTTTTCATCGGGGAAATCTAACTGTAGAAACAGCGGAAAACATCTTATTTATTATTTCTTTTTCATTATTTTGATCACACTTTCTGGCATTGCCGATAATTTTGCCTGAAATATTCTTAATTATATTCAATTGATTTAATTTATATCGTGTTTGAAAAAACTTGACGGGACTCAAACTCGAAATCTCCGGCTCTTGAGTCTGCTACCACATGAACTACGTCAAATACGACCTATGGTTCGATATGCATATACGATATGGTAGAGGACTTTCTTCTTCACCTCAAACGTTCCGCGTCCTCACAAACTTTGTCGCTGTTAGTCTGGGACGCCCTGTATATTTTTGCTACGGGACGCGCAACAGCGATCTGCGGTAAA